CTTAGTGCGCTGAAATGAAACTGCACTGGCAAAAGAAAAAATTAAATGTAGTAGAGAGAAAAAGTCCAGTGACTATCGGGATGTCTTTGCATGCGCAAAGAACATAACAAAGATCACGAGAAAAGGCCCTCATTAAGAATTTGTTCCAAAAGCATTTTTTTGTTGCTTCACATCTTGTTGTGTTTCAGCTTTCAGTGTTCTGCGTGTCACAGGTTGCGGGCACGGTTCAGACATGATAGAAAAAGTTAGCTATTACATAAATAAGACAAGGGTATTGTCAGGCTCTTTCCTACTCTTCTCATGGGCAGACCAGTTTTGTTATATCTGCACCATAAACTGTACACCTCCCTATAAACCAGTATTTGAGCCTGTGCTTCTGACAGAGCCTTCTTCAGGGAACTGCACGACTCCAGATGTCTCCTCAGCCTTGCCGTGTTCATGTAGCGTCAAGCTTTGGTTTGCCTTTACGTCTGAACCGTGCCGCTCTCAACCGTATATGTGGTTCAGCATTAACTCTGTGGTGGTTCCCGACTTCCTAAGAAACTAACAGTTGTATAGGTTAAGATAATGCCATAAACTAATTGAGCTGGTATACGGCAGGCACGTAACTTCGGAGTAAACATTCAGAGGACTGGACTGAATGTCTGCAACCCAATGCTAGACGAAAGCTGCATTGAAATCAGTGAGACGTATTTGTCCTGTTGTGAAGTAGCAGATTCTCCAAGCTAGTTTCGAATATACCCAGGTTAAAAAAAAGAAAGAGATGTACAATTATGTGCAGTTCCACTGTTGGCACCATTACAGGCTAAAGGATATTTTAGCTTAAAACACTCTTTCGGCTGTTAAATAAAGATGCCTAGGCAGCATAATGGGAAACGAGCCTTTAACCTTGTGACCTTGCTTGGGCATAAAAGGCACTTGCATTTCAGTATCATGGCGATCTCTTGCATGCTGGCCTTTCCAGCAGATGGAAGTTTACTTTGGCCTTATAAAGTCATTTTACTCAGCTGGAAGCTCTTGTCGCATGACAGATGATCAAAAATAGACTCACTGCAGCTTGCCCTGTCAATCACCATGTGCAAAATGGCATAACGGTGGGGGCGCCTGCAAACAGTTCGTGCATATTGTAGACTATAAGGGGGTCCTAAAGGGGATAATGTTCCAAAATTTTCCCCCCACCTGTTCATTTCTTGGCTTAAAAGAAACAAGTCGCAAGAGCTTAAGTTAGGAGTGCATTCCCTTATCTTTTCAACAAGAAAGATACAAGTGTCCTTATAAATCGACTGTGATAGTGCTTTTGCTGGCACAGAGAAAGAACTAAACTTCCCCCCCCACCCTATTGTAAGCTACTGTGATAAGCTTTACATAATTATTAAAAGAGCCCACTTTTAAAAAAAAAGAGATTTAGCAGAAACAATCCTTGGAAATTAACTACTTTTAAGGTATAGTGACGTTATTGAGGAATTTCGTTTAGCCTAAATTCTTATTTGCTTTAAGCATTATAGCTAGAAAACACAAAATTATTACTGAGCTCGACTTTAGTACACACACAAAAACTCAGGAGAAGACTTAATAATTTTATGACTTTAAAATATAACATTTTAATTTTAAAAAGCTGTAAAGGCTCTTGTTGATAGATAAAATTTACTTTTTGTTACTCTGTCCCTACTTTCCCTCCTAGGCTCTTACGCTTCAGTTCTCCCAGTTGGAATAGTACAGTATTAATGGTCTAAATCATATCCTTAATACTTTAATGTTTGAGTTGGAAACGTTAAAAGGGGGTGATAAATTGCTAAACAAACAAATCTTTGCTATAAAAAAATATAGTGAAAGGTAACTGTTCAAAGCATTCTTCAACTAAAGCTTTTTTCTTACTTGGCAACTTCTAAGTGAAAGTTGAAACTAATTTTCTTTATTTAAACACACTTAGAGATATCTTAACCATGTTTTATATAGGGGTAAATTGAGCTGATTTGTGTGACAGCTGGGGGGAAACGGCTTTTGTCATGTGCATGGAAGTTGGAAGTATTTATTCTGCATCTAGAGCTGTGTGTGTGTGGTGGTAGGCTCTCATTAGAACTCTGATCTATGTTGGACGGAAGTTTGGTTCTCTGTATAGTTTTAACAGCAAGTCAAAGCTTTGAAGAATCTACTGCCCATGAAACCAGTAGGTTTAAACTGGACAGACGCTGCATAGCTCTGACCTGGATAGCCCAGGCCAACCTGATCTTGTCAGGCCTCAGAAGCTAAGGTGGGTCGGTATTTGGATGGGACACCACCAAGGAATATCACCAAGAAACGGCAGAGGCAGGTAATGGCGAACCACCTCTGAATGTATCTTGAAAACCCTACGGAGTCCCCATGAGTCAGCTGTGACATGACAGCAGAAACAAAAACTTGGCATAGGATTGCCCTTTCTGTTTTTCTGTATGGTATAATGGAGCTGCGATGGCTCAAGTGGTTAAGACGCTGAACTGCAGGCTGTGGAAGGTCGGTAGTTCAGCAGTTCGAGACCCGAGTGTGCCTCATGACGGAGTGAGCTCCCGTCTCTAGTTCCAGCTCCTGCCAACCTAGCAGTTCGAAAGCAAGACATTGCAAGTAGATAAATAGGTACCACTTCAGTGGGAAGGTAACAGCGTTCCGTGCACCTTGGTGTTTAGTCATGCCGGCCACATGACCATGGAAACGTCTTCGAACAGCGCTGGCTCTTCGGCTTTGAAACGGAGATGAGCACCGCAACCCTAGAGTCGGACTCGACTGGCTTTCGAGCAAGGGAACCTTTACCTATGGTATAATGAGTTGAGGGATTAATCTATATGCATATTTCAACAGAGGGAGTGGGCAGAGAGCTGATGTAGCCTAGCAACTCAAGAGTATAAGCTGGGAAACGCTTGGGTCATCTCCCCTCAGCTATGTAGTTGCTTGGTAGTCTTAAGAGAGTGGTCTTCAACCTTTCCAAACTCAGGATCATCTTTTAAGCTCAGGTGGTAGTATGGGGCCCACTGAGCTGCAAACGTGACATCACAGTCATGTGAGAGGAAGAGGAGGAGCCCAAATCTCTGAACCAGCCTGTCCTTTTTAAAAAGGGAATCTTTTGGTGGGTGGCCTTGCCTGACCACTCTGCCGCTCCCCTCGGCTTGTACGCAAAGAGTGGCAGGAGGCATGCAGCACTTGCTCTTAATGCACGCTAGCAGCAAGGCCTTCCCCCCCCCTTCCATAAATATACTTTAAATCAGGCATGTCCAACTTCGAACAGGTAGTGATCTGTTTTTTCCGGCCAAAAGTGCCGGTGATCTACCACCATGAAAATAAAGTTTCAAATTAGTTTCAAATTAGATTTTAACCCACTAAAGTTGGGTTCCACCGCCCCCCCTCCCCAATTTATAATGCGCCTTCTGTCATTTACTGGTAAGCAAAATAAGCAAAAACAAAATAGAGAGACGAAGATCCAGAAAGAACTGCGAACGTTTTTTATTTTTTATTGACTTATAACAAAAAAAACCAAACACCTGTCCAACAAACCAGGAGACCAAGTGGGGCTGGTGATCTACCTCTGATCTCTCCGTGATCTACTGGTAGATCGCGATCTACCTGTTGGACATACCTGCTTTAAATGGCAGCTTTACAGGGGCTTATACCTCAGCAGGTTCTGCGACTGACCGGAGGGTCCTGACCGATGATGAGTTGAAGACGACAGCTGCTCAGCTTCACCTCTGTCTACGATACGGGAATAATAATAGTACTGATCTACCTTAACAGAGTTTTTGCAAGCATTACTGAGAGAGTGTACGTGAAGCATTTTGAAAGTTCAGAGCACCATATAAAATGCTGTGTTGTTGTTATTATTTCTGTGATGTGACAGCATTGCTGCAAGTGTCAAAACTAGCCTGCTTGTGCTTCTGAGCACCTAAAAAAAAGAAGCAACATTTCACAGTGTGGAGGATATTCAAGTATGTATTTTGCAAACAGTGTGTTTTTTTTCCCCCACCCTCAAAATATGTTTCTGCTTCTGTTAAACACTAGATCCACTTGACTGTAATCCAGCCCCCAGTTCTCCCCACCCCTTTCCCGGTATGTCTTGCGTAGAAATAAACAAGCTGGCACAAGGCAGACACCCAGTGGCCTGATAATGTGGCAACAGGTTTGACCTTCACGACCTTGTAACCTCTTCAGAAGTGTGATGCACATCTACCTTGGGGGAATCACTGTTATGAATTTTAATGGCATCTGTGTAGCTTTCCCCTCAATGGCCTTTTGTGACGGAGTGAACTGCACTATAGTCCGTTTGAAAAGTGTGATTCTTGCTGTGTTTACCACACTTGTGAACTTCTATTTTAAACTCCTTTGTCGCCTGTGGTTTTTTTTTTATTATTTTTAATAAGGTTGACTGAGGTTGCAGAGGAATTAATGTGTGCTGAGTCTGCATAGCAAATCAAGTAGGGTTGCCACGATATACGACTCGTTTTTATTTCCCCCGGATCAGTATATTTTTGCAAAGTGGGTAATTCAGTCAAACAATCTCGGGAGAGTTCAAGTATAATATTTTCCAAATAACTCATTGCATCGTTACAAAAGTGTTATTGTGGCTTATAGGACTCAGAATTTTTTCAGCCTTTGTTGAATTCGTAAGTATTGGGAGAAATGATCTGCATCATGTTAAATTCTGTATTCTCCACTCCAGTAGTTGGAATAAATGAGATTTTTCTTTTAATGGGTCTGTTAAACCTTACACATCTCAAGGCCCCTCTAATGATCTCAAATTAGTATTAGTGTGGTTTTATGGAGATTAAGATCCATGCTGTTAAGTCAGCACTAACACAGTGTTGTTGGTTTTTCCTTTTCTTTTAACAGTGGTTCCTATAACAGTCAGTTTGAAACTTAGTTATTGTGGCAACCCTATGAATATAACAACAACTAAATTTTGAGTTTGTTTTTTAGTTCTGGACTTGGAAACGAGTTTTTATTTGTGTTCTCTGACTTCGTCTTCTGTTTCTCAACAGGATACCTGCCCACTATGTCTATCCCCAAGCTTTTGTGCAGCCAGGAGTAGTAATTCCACATGTCCAACCCACCGCAGCTGCTGCCTCCACTACACCTTACCTTGACTACACCGGAGCTGCCTATGCTCAGTATTCCGCCGCCGCTGCTGCAGCAGCAGCAGCCTATGACCAGTATCCTTATGCAGCATCCCCAGCTGCTGCCGGCTATGTCACTGCTGGGGGCTATGGCTATGCGGTCCAGCAACCAATCACTGCCGCAGCACCTGGGACAGCTGCCGCTGCCGCCGCCGCCTTTGGCCAATACCAGCCTCAGCAGTTGCAAACTGATCGTATGCAATAACAGATGGACTTGTGAAGGAAGTTCTTTCTCTTTTTTTAAAGTTCTTCTCGTATTTACCTTCCAGCCTTCCAATAGAAATAGTTTTGAAAGAAGCAGTTTAAATCTTAACTAATCCAGCTTTAAGGAAAATTACAATGCAATAGAATATTACGAAAAAAAAGAACAAATTCCACTGTCTCTGTACAGTAGGGTAGGATCCGTACGGTGGGTAGGATTGTAAGGCGGGTATTATAATAGTTTCAGCACAGGGGCGTCATCGTATCATGAAAGGATGGCAGAAGTTAACTATAGAAGCTTTCCTCTTAAAAAGAGAAAGGAAAAAAAACCAGTAAAATATGTGTTTTGATAATACAGGGGGGGAATATCCAGGTGAGCAATATGTAGCCTGTTATCAAGTTGAAGATGACTGTTATTTAAACGTCGAAAGCACTGATTGTCATCGCAACTTTTTTCACTGTGGCCTACGGGACTTTGAATAAGTTTTACAAACTCTTTTCTTTCTCCCCCTTACAATCTCATAATGGGCATCGAACAAACTAAGGAGCATGGCCTTTTGGGAATAAAGGGTGGTGGACAGGCACCAAAGTTGTTTTCTCATCTGTCCTCCGTATGAATGGGACTATGGAGCAACTGGTGTGGAATTAATGGGTGCAACAGCTGTACAGACAATCAGTAACGCAGACTGTTCTGGAAAAGAACACATCACTCGTGCTCGTTTGATGAGCTTGTCACATTCTAATCCCCTCTCCCCCATCCTGTTTCACTTTTAGGAAACTTTGACTGCTAGTGTCAGCTATTCTGATTCTGAAATAGGATCAGTTCTTTACTACAACAGCCGCCTCTTTTTTATTTATTGTATCCATTCATGGCTTGAGAATAAAAGCAGGAAGAAATTTGCTGATTTAAAACCTTTTAAGAACTGTGTTAAGGGATTTGGGGAGGGGGGGATGATTTATATGCAATGTAATGCCTATTTAAAGTATTTATTAGCGAAACGTTAAGTTTTTTTTTCATGAGACAGCTTGTTGAGATTGCAGTTCTTCGAGGATTACCGCTATCGTGCCTTAATTGTGATGCTATTTAAAGTATATATATATATATATATTTATTTTGGAAGTTATACAATGCTGCACTCTCGGGAAAACAACTTTAGACGTGAAACTGTAAAATTATGTATTCATCTCAACGGCGTAAATTATTTAGTAGGTTTAGCTGTAGTATATAAAATATTAACCTAATTGACTAAAGATGCTGACGTTAAGTTTTATTTCGATTCAAGCGAGTACGCCTTTTTGCAAGGGTACTTTTAACACTTCTTTTTTTTAAAAGGTTTTGATCTTTAAAATGCTGGTTTCGTGCTTCTCCCTCCCTCCCTCTCTCACCTTGACCCTAAACCCATGTACTTGGAAGAAAGCGCTATTCATTTCAGTGCAATTGATTTCCACGTAAGCGGGTACTAGTTAAGGAGTGGGGCGTCAGTCTAATAACACTCCACACACTTGCTCAGGAGAAAGGCCTTGTTCCTGGTATAGAATGAGAGCTGCTTCCATGTAGTCTGGTGATGGGCTTCACTAATCGCATTTGCAAACAGGAACCGCTGGAGTTGGACAAAGGGTGTAACCAGGTGATTTATCCAATCCTCGTGGTTCCTGTTTACAGACCTTACTGAGCAGTATGAGACTAGACTACACAAGAACAGCCTAGGCCATGACAGTAACATGGAGTTGAGCCCAAGTCCTACTGATCTTGCTCGGACTCAGTCCCGAATAGATAAGTGGAAGACTGGTTCTTAAAAATGCATTATATGGAAACGGGCTTCATATTTTAATCCATGTAATGCGTTTAAGGGTGAGATATCCGTGTTCTCTCGCTCAAATCACAAATGGGTAGTTTTCACTTTCATCTCTGTCTATATTGACTATTATTCCTTTGCTAGGAATTCCGCTGCTTTTACATTGTCCTGTGAAGCTACAATAACTTACCATTTTTTTTTTCTTGAGCAAAAATGGAATTTGATATTTTACATTGTATTGGAATCTTTTTTTATACTTGAACAATTTCATACAAGGGAAAGACAGGATAGCATTTTTTATGGACTTTATCCAATGTCACTGGATTTATTTTGAGTATTTTGGATACTAGCCAGTGTTACGTAAGGTAGATAACATGACTTTCACATGCATGTTATTTATTATGTATATTGCCTTATGATGTTGCAGATCTTCTAATCTATACACTTGTATTAAAAATCTATTTAAAATGTTGCATCTGGTCTATTTACAGCTGTGCCAGAAACAGACTCTTACCATATTAGGATGTGAAGACAAACTGAACATTGTTTCATCCAGATTAAATTGGGCAATGTTATCTGTGTTCTATTTTAAGGTTTAAATGAGTACTTGATTTATTTAGTGCTCTTGTACCCTGCCTTTCTACCTGTATTGGCAATCAAGGTGGCTTATAAGACTTTAAAAATAAAAAAAACAAGACTAAAATAAAGAGAAGATAATCGTGGCTGCAATGAGTGTAAAGTACTTCTCTTCCTTTTTGCGTGCGGCTGGAGAGGTGTGAAGCTGCCAAAGGTGCTCGAGATGGTCTGGGTTTCTCTTGCAAGTGACATTCTGTTAGAGGTGTGAGCAGCCTCAGTACAGCATGGTGTAGTGGTTAAGAGTGATGGACTCTAACTTGGAGAACCGGGTTTGAATCCCCACTCCTCCAAATAAAGCCTGTTGGGTGACCTTGGGCCAGTCACAGTTCTGTCAGCCCCACGAGCCTCACAAGGTGTTTGTTGTGGGGAGAGGAAATAAATGGTGACTGTAAGCTGCTTTGAGTAAAAAGTGTCTCAGAAGAATGTGTTGTACCAGTGGTTACAACAGACCATCAAAGTTATTGCCCATGTATTGTATCATGGACAAGTTAATTCCTTTTCTGCCTCTCTCCCAGCTTTCTTTGAAATAACTAAGCAAATACGCACATGGGAAGACAATGAATACAAAGACGTGATCTGTAGAGTGCTGGTGGAAACCAGTGTTCCCTGTAAGCTGAGTTAGCATGAGCTAGCTCACAGTTTTTTTAGCCTCCGGCTCACAGATTTTTGTCTTAGCTCAGGAAGGGCAAAAGGAAGAGCAAACTAATGTATGCAGTAGCCAAATCACTCATTTGTAACTTTAATACCAGTAGCTCACAAGGTAGAATTTTTGCTCACAAGACTCCACAGCTTAGAGGGAGCATTGGTGGTAACTCCAGTAAAAATTAGTAGGAGACTATGATATTAAATGTCGTCATAGTTTCCTACTAATTTTTGCATGTGCTGCTGAAATGCAGTTCATGTCAGGTCAGACAATATAATAATGTTCAGGTTCCAGTCCCTGTATAAATATCATTGTTTAAAACAGTGTTATGGATAGTCTTTACTTGAACGTTTATCATAATTAGGGTTGCCAAGTCCTCGTTGTTGCCACGGCGGGGGACTCCCGGCTTGGTCCTGGAGTGCGCGCGTGCCGCAACCATGTCACCCGGAAGTGACGCGGGCGCGATGGGGGCGGGGCTGCGGTCATCAGAGGGGAAAACAGAGTTTTCCCTCGGGTGACGTGCTGACTCTGGACACGTCACGTGCTTTGGGGGTGGGGTTCCCCCGGGGCCCGATCCGCCGGCGGCAGGTAACGGCCCTCTGGGGCGGGGGGTTCCCCCACCTCCGGGGGGATTTGGCAAGCCTAATCATAATCAGTCATTTTTCTCTCTGGCATGGCAACAACTGGGAACATGAAAACAAGCGTTTTGAGATCTATCGGAAGCAGTTGTGAAGGTGGAAACTGAAAAGTGCTGCTGTTTGGCCTTAAATAAGATATCGCATACCATCATCGGCACACTTCAGTCATTTTTGAGGGCATCACATGTCTGCTGTTCCCCATAGAGCAAGGCCAGAAATTCTTTATTCACAGTATACCTTTACATATCCCACTGAATTTTCAATATAATTTCAGAAGCAGCACAGGCTTGTAATTGGGGTCAGTGCATAATGGTGAATAATACGTTACTGCTACATTTTTAACTTGGAGATTTAAAAGATCCTGCTTGTTTACAGTGTAAATATTGGCCCACTCACAACCTATCTGACAGGGTAAGAGTCAGGTCAAGTGCAGCAATCCGTAAAGAAGTCTGCAAGCTTTATGGAGAGAAGAGCCTAACATAAAGGGTCACTGACTCACTTAAATCGGTTAGCTTGTTTATTTCCCCTTCCCCTCCCCCCCACCCCCGGGGACTGAATGGGAGCCACTGAGGTCTGGCCCTAGACCAATTTGAATAGCGTCACCTGAATTATAAGTTCTTGGTTAGGATAAAGTGAAAAAAATAAATAAAACAGTCCCAGGAATGGATTTTGTGTGTATATGATTAGATTCATAATATGGAATAGAGCCATCGTTTATTGATATAATTTATTGTCTTATTAATCCTTGCGACGGTCACCTCGAGGCTAGACTACTGTAACGCTCTCTACATGGGGCTGCCTCGGTCGCAAATCCGTAAGCTGCAGCTGGTCCATAATGCTGCGGCCAGGCTGTTGGTGGACGCCCCTAGGTGGGAGCACACCAGACCTGTACTGAAAGCGCTGCACTGGCTGCCTATAGCATACCGGATTTGCTTCAAAGTGCTGGTGCTTACCTTTAAAGCCCTACATGGCCAGGGTCCGACATACCTGAGGGACCACAATTCCCCATATATTCCCCAAAGAGCACTTCGGGCCCCAAGGAGGCCAGGCTTGCTGCAACGAGGGCCAGGTCCTTTTCAGTGGTGGCTCCTATCTGGTGGAACGTTCTCCCAGAGGAGATCAGGGCCCTGCGGGACCTTATGCAGTTCCACAGGGCCTGTAAGATGGAGCTCTTCCGCCAGGCTTTTGAGTAGGAGCCGCCACTGCCACTACCACCACTGCTCCACTACAGAGCAATACTGCCGGAGGGCCGGGTAATATCTGTTTGTGGCCCTAGCCCTCCCTTCCTGTTATACAAAATGTCAGGAGTTTTCTATTTGTGCCTCTGATGGAACTGAATTTTAATTGTTTTAGCTTTTATATATTGTATGCACTTGGTGCCTTATGTAAGCCGCCCTGAGCCCGTTCGCGGGGAGGGCGAGGTATAAATATAATAAAATAAATAAATAAATTATTAGTAAAGATTTGAGGACCTTATAACTGGAGACAATATTTAGATTTACAGCAAATATAGGATGCTAATTTATTAAAAGCACTTGGAAATGATTAGTGTGTTTATGTTTTCAGCTCCTCATGTTATTGTCAGGTCAGGTACAGTGTTAATAGGTTAATAAGGTGTGTCTTTGGAGGAAACATCCATTGCTCTTTCACAGTTCTAAATCAGTTATCCCAAATTATCCCTACAAGAAGCCCGGTTGAGTTCAGTGTAGAGTGATCTTTTATACCGCTACGTGAATCTAATGACTCGTTTGTAGGATTCACTGCACCAGACCCACAATGTTTTTCCAGAGCTCAGATTTCACAGCCTCTACTTAATCCTTAATTTATTCGGAAGGGTGGGGGAAGAGGATTATACTTATACTCTGACTTGATTTTTGCTATGATGATCATTTGCATCTCTGCCAAGCGATCAAGTGCTTTCAATAATCCATGACAACATGAAGAACGCTATTAATAAGAAACAGTGTTAATAGGTTAATAAGGTGTGTCTTTGGAGGAAACATCCATTGCTCTTTCACAGTTCTAAATCAGTTATCCCAAATTATCCCTACAAGAAGCCCGGTTGAGTTCAGTGTAGAGTGATCTTTTATACCGCTACATGAATCTAATGACATTTATAGGATTCACTCCACTAGACCCACAATGTTTTTCTAGAGCTCAGATTTCGCAGCCTCTACTTAATCCCTAATTTATTCGGAAGGGTTGGGGAAGAGGATTATACTTATACTCTGACTTGATTTTTGCTATGATGATCATTTGCATCTCTGCCAAGCGATCAAGTGCTTTCAATAATCCATGACAACATGAAGAACGCTATTAATAAGAAATGCTGTTAGGTGGAAAAGTTGAAGCCAATGGTGTCCTAGTTCCAAAGAAACTAAATCCTCACGGTGACTCAGCATCTTACCTTTCCGCATTTGATCATCTAATATATTTGACACAGACAAATTAGAATGTGACTCAAGCTCATGTGAGCCAAATTTGGAGGGGTGTTAAAAGTAGTAATGGTGGAGAACACTGAGTAGGAATGTAAAAACTTAATAAATACAAAAGTAATATATTCACAAGGGTACAGAATAACTCAGATAATAAATAACTTCAGGAAATGTTTGTGATGTTGAAAGAAAGGGAAACAAATCAGGAAGGTAGTATGTTCTATATACACAATGATACAGAAAAAAAGAAATATCAAGCGTAACTCAATTCCCAACTGCTGGAATCAAAACGATCTATTACTGTAACAAAGGGTAACAAAGAACAAATCTGAATTTCATAGGGAAAGTAGGTACAAAGAAGATCTCCATCACATCT